CCCCGGGACCCCACGCCGGCCCCCAGCAGCAGAATCTGCCCCGACCGTGGCTGGTACCTTTAGGCCTTTCGGAGCCGTATTTGTCCTTTCTGTCCCGGGCCCTGGGCGCTACGCAGAGGCACGGGATGGTGCAGCGCCTGCCCCCTCCTCCCCCCCAAGATTTTCAGCCTAGGGCTCCATGATTTGTCCTTTCTGTCCCGGGCCCTGGGCGCTACGCAGAGGCACGGGATGGTGCAGCGCCTGCCCCCTCCTCCCCCCTTCCAAGATTTTCAGCCTAGGGCTCCATGAGAGGTTGGATCCGTGCGTGCTGCACCTCGCGGCTGCACGGGGCCTGCACTGGACCAACTGCAATCGGTCGGTGTAACAGGCAAAGGCAGGGGCTAGTGAGGAAGGCTGAAGGGAAAGGACTCTCTGCTTGCGTAGACTTGCTGTACCATTGAGGGGCTTCAAATAAAAGAACATTTCATAAAAATAGAAATACACATGAACGAATGATTGGCAAGCTAGCCACGCCAGGCCCCACACTGGGTCTAACCCTGCCTCCTTTCTGTATTCACTCCCTTCTCCCTCCTCTATGGAAGTCCAAGCACCCTTCAGTAAGAGCTCATTCAGACCATAGGCGCAGGGCTCAGGTCTGAACTGAACTCTGACCAAGAGGGAGGAACCTATCTGAAGGGAACCTTGTATCTTCTGCTCCCCAGTCAAAGGGAGTAGGATTCCGGGGTTTGACTCCAGTTAAGATCCAGCTTATGTTTGCAACTAGAGAGGCACTCTGTTGAAGGGGTTGCAGGGAATTGGGGACATATTTGCACATGAGGTGGTTGTGCCCAAGAGTTAGGAGGTTTGGGGAGGAAATTAATAAAGATATCAATTTTATGACAAAATGTCGGCTTCCTAGAGATCCCCTGACCTGTTTCCTTAATGCTCTGATGAAGGGTCTGCATTTTAAACAGAACAGCAAATTATTCTTTTTAATTGTTGGCAGTGTATTGCACATTATTGGAAATACCTGACCCTTCCACATATGCAATTATGATGTACTAAAATGTGGATGGTCTTTCTAATAAGAAAAGCTTTCATGCCAAGTATAAAAAGAAGAGAAATGCCACAAAGAGAGGATGAGTATTTACAAATTTGATCATCTTTGCTAGTGGGCTCTGAGGAAGGAAAGGGCTCTTCAGCCAGCAAGGCAGAATCTTTAGCTAGTTTCTTTGAATATTAATCTGATCCTCTATATGTAATATACAGAACAGTATGTTAAAGGGTTATTGTGAGGGTGTCATAAAAAAGCTTGTTTGTTTATATATTTTTTTAAGTTACTCTTGGGGATTTCTTCCCAAGTGCTCTAGATCCAGGCTACTACTTTACTCAGAAGATGTGCAGGTGCTGATAGTTTAAAAATATTTCCTACAGTGACAACCATTTATCCCAGAGCCCTAGAAATGAGAGTAGTGAGGTTATTGAGACTGGACTCTGCAATGCAGTAGAGCAATCTTAGGATCATTTATTAGGCAAATAGCAGCTTCTATCAATCACTTATTTGTTATTAAAGTATTGAAGATGTTCAGAATCAGGGAGAAAAGCTGCAGGGCTAGATGCAGGAGGATGCCTTGTTTAAGGCACTAGCATCATAGAATGGTGATCTAGGTTCAGTTTCCAGTGCTGGTATAGATTATGTGTTGTTTTGCCTCTCATTGCCTCTATTACCCATCTATAAAATTCAGCTAAAAATCACAGAGCTTCACAAACTTTAGGCACTACAGGAATAACTAGAAGCACCTCGCTCAATTTTGGGTCTGCCATGGCCTGGGATATTCAGGACAAAAGGAGGTGGGACGGCCATTTATCAGGGTGGTTTAAGAATAATTAAATCAATCTGCCACAATTCAGGATGGGTGGATTAAAAGATGCCCTAGTGAAAGCCTAGATAGGATACAGTGCAGAAAGAAACTAAATATCCCAGGATGGGTTAGATTCCCTGCTGGAGGTCCTACTCCAATCCAGGGGGATTGACTAGTGACCTATGTGACATACTTTCAAATCAAACAGTTTTATAGTTACCCCATAACCATGAGTAAATATCGACTCATTTCCTTTGTGAACTGGATTGGGTTCAGGGATGGGTGAGATCTCAATTAGGATTGGAATAAAGATCACAATTGGATCAGGACTAGAAATGGATCAAGAGACTGGAAACAGGATTTGGATTTGTTTATAATTTTCAGTTTGTTTTAAATAGTAACAAACTTTTCGTTTTTTTTAATAAAAAATAGCTTAAAACTGCCTAATATGTCTGCTCTATCTCTGCAAAGTGATAACTGGGGGAGGGATTATGTATTGTGGTAAAAGGGACTTGGACTAATCAGATGTTTTAAAAGGGAAAATTTAGGATGAATTTCAGGATATATATTCAGCCAGTGAGCTACACTAGGCTTTGGCATCATCTGATGATGGTAGATGCTCCAAGCACCTGGGTCATTTAAAAACTAGAGAATATACAATCAGAAATAATCCCACACTGTGTTGGGAAAAAAGCTAATAGGATGAGCTAATAGGTCTTTTTTTTCATCTCAGTGTCCGTGATTCTACGAGAGCAGGGGAACATAGAGCAGATTTAGGAGTAAATTTAAATAATGATCTGATTGCAGACTGGGTCCCCTGCGTTCACAAGCCCCTCTTGTTAATAATGTTATTGATCAGGTGGAATTCTTAGGTTTTCAATGTTGGAATGTAATTCTGAGACTTTCTGTTTTTGCTATTGGGAAGGTGTAGGTTCGTTTGAAACTCTAGTTTATTTTATTGAAAGATTTTTAAAAAGTTCTGAGCACTGTACCTTCTGTCCTTTGGTTTGATTATTTACTTTAAAGGCAAGTCTGATTTTAAAAAAAAACCCATTAGAATGCTGGCAGCAGTGTAGGCTGACAAGACTTAAAAAAAAAACATTAGAATGCTGGCAGCAGTGTAGGCTGACAAGACTTAGAAATTGGCATTTCAAAGGGCTTGCAGATAGCCTGATGTTCTGGGAGGATTTTTGCACCAGGGAAGTGAAGAAGGTCTGGGTACCTTACTTCCCCATTGTTGGAATCTTTTTGCATTCCCCTGGAGTTACGCTTTCATCTGTCTCAGCTTCCAGTTGCTGATTTTTTTAAAATTTTCAGTCTGCCCATCCTCCGCTGAGAATGGGGCAAGGTTGGGGCAACTGACCATTCAGGCAGTCAGGAAGGCTTTCCAATGGGTGATGGGGGAATGCAAATCAGGAGGAAGGGAGGGAGATGGGCTGTTCTGGGTTCCCCTGTAGAAGTTGAGGAAGGGAACTGGCAGGGGGTGAGTGGCTGGAGGTAGCATGCATGAGGGGAAGAACTGACCGGTTATAGAAGTGAGAACTGTGAGTAAAACCCTCGGGGACTTGGATGTGAGGGGTTGGTGTGTTTGTAAGCAGAGAGAACCTTGGGAGGGGTGAGATGTTGAGAACAATGCCATTCCTCATTGGTGCCTCAGTGCAATCTTCTGGAGTGTCTGTGTGGCAAACATAAAGAGGACCATAGTGCTTGTAAAAAGGGGAAGAGAGATGCTTCGGTGTCTTTTGGAAAGAAATAATGTCTGAGATCTAATCTAGAAATTGTAAAAGTCATCTCAGTGTTCCTCTCGGGTGGCGGGGGGGAGAAACTGGAAGAGGGGCTGCCTAGAGGAGGCAGTGGCTGTGAGGGAAGGTGACTTGTGACTGTAAAAGAACACAATGTCCTGGCACTTTCTGAGCTTTCTCTTAGCCAAGGGCCTGACCTTCTGTCCACAGAAGAACAGTAAAACACAATCTACACATGTTATACAGTTTCTCAGATTTTCTTTTCTTTATTTCTCCATCTCTGACTATTCAGCTTTCTCTGTATTCTGATCATTGAGTTTTACTCCCCTCAGGACAATCTTCACATCTTACCAACTGGAGGAGCTGGAAAAGGCCTTTAATGAGGCCCACTATCCTGATGTCTATGCCAGAGAGATGCTGGCTATGAAAACAGAACTGCCTGAAGACAGGATACAGGTAATCCTACCTCTCTGGGCCCTTAGAACAATCCTTGTATCCCTCCCATCCCAAGAAGTGTTCATTCTATCCCTAAGGAGAGGACGTGGAAGCTTCCAGCATAGATATGGTCCTATTACACTGAATAAAACTCCCCTTATCATAACCAAAACCTCTAGGCTGTCATTTTCTGTGCTTTTTTGCAAAAATCTGTTTGGTGTATGTGTGTGGTGTTTTGTATGTGAGGTTGCATTGTGTGCTGCTGTAAGTATGTGTGTGCTATACTGTAGTGTACTGTCTTGTGTGGTTTTTTTTGTTACATTTCATAGCACCTAACTAAAGGTGCACAGGATAATGGATGTATTTTACAATAGGCAGAATAGAAAAATAACCCAAAAATGAGGAGCTGCTGTATTGAAAGTGTCCAAAATGGTCAAATTGCCCTAGATAGCCATGTCTTGCTGCCCCTAAGGAATTCTGTGGACATGGTCAAAGAGGAAACTCCATAGAGACCCAGTCCCAGAACTGAGAAATCCCCAATCTCAGCCTGGTACAAATTGGAGCACTGACATAATGGAACAGCTAGTCTCTCTTCTCCTGGAGGCACAAAGAGGGCTTGATGTCACTGTCTAGGAGTGCATCAGATTGCCTAGTGTAGCCATGAATAAGATTGTATTGTGAACTCAAATATGGGTGAGATTCTAAATTTGTCCTGTGCATGTACCTTTTGTGTTCTTTGTTTCAAGAAAACCTTTGTGGCTCATTTTTCCATTGAACCTTTGCCTTTTTATTTCCCTCTGGCATCATAAAGGGGGCAAAAGCAGCCCTTGGAAAATAGCCCCATTAGATTCCCTGGGTGGCACAGAACTGTCATTTTTCTGAAAAAACTCACAGAATGTCCACACTTCAAGCACGTTTTTGTGCAAAAAAATCGAAAGAACGGAGGGGTTTTTCTGGCCTAGGTATTCCTCATTCTACGAGGAAGAACACCTTTTTGCAGAGGAGCTCTTTCACAAAAAGATGTGTGTGGAAGGGGAAGATGGGTTTTTTGCATGCAAAGAGGAAAAAGCACAGGTGCCCTGATGACCATTCTGTGCATAGCAATCCAAGCTTACTTTCGAGAGAGTGTTCATGCAGTCTGGATGCTCTTTCACAAAAGTGCATCGCTGTTTTCAATGCGCTTTTGCAGTGTGGGACGCGCTCTTGTTCAAGAAGTTTTTGCGGAAGAGCTCTTCCAATAAGTGCTTCTTATGCAAGAAGCCTGCAGTGTAGACGTAACCTATGTGTGCAGATGCCCTAAAACAGCTTTGGGCATAGGGCCTGTCAGGGTAGAAAGGGAGGGGGTATGCTTGGAGACAACTGTTCTGTGACTATTATAGGCTGGCAAACAGCCCATAGGCAATCGTTGAGGCCAAAACAGAAGGTAGAAGAATACTTACAACTGCCACAGCTACTGTCCAAGGCGGTGTAAGACCCTGTCAGTCCAAGAATGTGAGGATCACAAAGGTGGCTGAAAGTCACCTCTGCTTTATCTTTCTTGGCCTCTGCTCCTAGTTCCCGTACAAAGCACAGGAACAGAGCAGAAAAACGTTGAGCCCTTTTGGTGTCACTTACTGCGTGGACCCAGTTTCTGGGCTTGCAGGGTTGAAACTTGGCTTTATTGCTCTGCATACTTGTGGCAGCTGCTTCTCTAGCTGATGCAGCTTGGTCTCTCTGTGAAGGGCTTGGCCTGGGTTCCACACTAAGCTGCTTGTTCTCTTCCCCCGCTCTCCCAATTCCTTCAACTGTGCACCTCACTCAGATTTGCTCTTCCAGTTTGTGCCTTTTTCACTGCTTCTTCCCTGCACCCAGGGGACCAATACACCATTACCTGGCTATATCTTCAGTGCTGGTAGACAGCCCATTCCATGGGCTCACAAGAACCTTAGAGATCAATCAAGGACACAGGATTGATGCTGTAAATTGAGGTATGGGAGGGGCAGTGGAGATGGAGGAATGCAGAGAGACTCTCAAACCAAAGAGTTCCACATTTTTTTTTGCAACACATTTTCCTCCACCAAATGCTTGTGCTAATCAAATGTATCATGCTGATAAAGTCAGGTCCAATCCTTCTGTTGTTCTGGCATGACTTCTAGTGATTTTACTGATGTTGTCCTAAGTGCTGATTTCCAGCAGGCCTCAAATAATTGATTGACCCATAACCTGAAATGGGAATGGATAGAATAAGGTCTCTTGTTTCTTGTATTCCATGTTGGGATTGCATTGTGATGGGTAGGTCCTGATGCTTCTATCAAGACAGAATTAAATGGAGAGCCAGTTAGATACCTCTTGTGATCTGTGTTATTTAGGAGCTGAATAGCCCCTGACAATTACTACTTCATTCACTGAATTACTATTTATATTTTACTCTGTCAATAGCCAGTGATAAACTGTTAGGCAACTTCTGTGTCATAATTTGTCATTGTTGTGATCAGCCTGCTCAACTGGAACTAGATTAGACCCAGGTAGAAGGAGCAGCCCCTGTATCAGGAGTGTAATTAGCATCACGCTAGTCATGACACTGGTATCACAAAGAGGAGGGATCATTAGTGAAACTGGGATAGTATGGGAAATGGTAGGTTTTTGTGACATTATTGGAGGGGGAACATGAGTATCTCATGCCAGGACAGGGATCAGAGAGTTATATACAGTCTCCTAAGAGATTCTGATGCTTTTACATCATGCAGGTTCTCTCCAACGGGCCAGTTCATAACTGTTCCTTTATTGTATATTTTCTTGTGTTTCCCCAGCTGCTTTTTGGTGTTATAAGCTTCTTCACATATTGGGAAGATGATGCTGAAGATTAAAATTAGTACTTGATATTTGGCCTCACTTCCTCCTTTTTAAGCTATGTCTAGTCACACTCTCTTTGGTACTAGCCTGAATAATCTCTCGCATCAGCATTGGGATTTACACTCTCTAAATAGCTGGAGATTGTTAACTTGTTCTCCTCTCCCCACCAATCTCTACTCTCCAACCATTAGTCATTGCTTATCCAAGCTACAATATCTGTTTTTAATCATTTCTCATAAATCAATCTCTCCAACGCCTTTTGGTTTCTCTTTTCTGAGCTCCCTCCAATTTGTCAGTCTTTCTGGAAACAAGGGCTTAAGAGCCTATTTGAACATACTAAATGAGTTTACATCAGTGCTGTATAGGGACCACTATTTTCCTGAGTCCTTCAGCAGATCTCTCCCCAAACTGGTGTTGACTTGGTTTTGATTCCACATCATATTGCAAAGTAC